GCTAGCCTTGAGCTGAAGAGCTGAGGGACAGCGCCCAGGCCCAGAGTTCAGGCCCCACGACCGGACCCAAAACAAAATCAATGTAGTGTCTAGTATCACTGCTGAATTAGTTCACCCTTTATCTCACTAATTTTGTGCTTCCCCTTACCCTCCCCAAATCAGGTAAACTTACATACAAGACAAGAGGTACAGAAATACAAAAAACAGCAACAAAAAGGGAAAAACAGAAAAAAGAAAAAAACTTATTTTCCTTTATGTGGAGTTCATTTCAGTAAGCATCATTTTATATGATCATATGCACATAACTATTGAGCCTTTGTGATCCTCTCCTAAGAATATCCTCCTTTGGTATCTGTGTGAATGTTTAGAGTCCTGTTTAACTTATTATATAATTTTTTTGTGTTTTCCTATCCATTGTGTTTGCCTGTATATTTATAGCACATTCTCATTACTAAAAATGAGGGGAAACTATGCAACCTATGTTTCTTTGGGTCTGGCTTACTTTGTTTAATACAACTTATTTTTTTTTTTGCTTAATATAATTTTTTCCAAGTCTTTCTGTTTCCTTATGAATGGCATTCTTTCTAATGTCATTCTTTCTGATAGAAGCATATAAGTCCATTGTGTGTGTGTATACACATGTGTATGTACTTATTACCTTTATCATATGATCATAATACCTCAATTTTAAAAAGTGGAACATGGTCAGTGAGGTATGTATCACACACACACACACACATTTCACATTTTCTTGATCCATTCATCCACTGAGGGGCATCTGGGCTGATTCCATATCTTGGCTATGGTAAACAATGCTACAGTGAACATGGTTGTGTTGGTAGCTTTAGTGTGGCCTGGTTTGTGGTCAATTGGATAAATAACCAGAAGTGGAACTGCTAGATCAAAAGGAAGCTCTATGTGTAGTCTTTTAAGGAACATTCATACTGCTTTCCAGAGTGGTTCAACAAGTTTACATTCTCACCAACAGTGTGGTGGCATTCCCTTTTGGCCATATTCCTGCCAGCACCTGTTATTGTTAGTTTTGTTGACATTGGCCATTCTAACTGGGGTGCAGTGAAATCTCAGTGTTGTTCTGATTTGCATGTCTTTTATGTCCAGAGATGCTGAACATCTCTGCATGTTTCTGTTGGCCATTCTTACTTCATCTTCTGAGAAGTCTCTCTTTAAGACTTTAGCCAATTTACTAATTTAGTTGCTGTTTCTTAGAGAATTTGTTTTGGGGGCATTTAATTTTTTGAGCTCTAAGTATATTTTAGACACGAGGCCCTTGTCTGAGGCATAGCTAGTAAAGATCTTCTCCCATTCTGTAGTCTTTCTATTTATTTTGCTAGCTATGTCTTTTGCTATGCAGAAACTCTTCAGTTTGATGCAATCCAAATTATCCAGCCTTGCTTTGATGTGTTATGTTTCTGGATCTTTACTTAGGAAGTTTCGACCCATGCCAAGGAGCCCTAGTGTTTCCCCTTTCCTGTAATATTTTCAAGAAGCATGGATTTTAAAATCCAAGTGGGTGTGTATTTTGTCTATTTCCTGCATTTCTCAGTATTATTAAAAATTGTATTTTGAGGGTTGAATCACCAATTTCACTTCAAATGTGCATCAGGAAGAAGGTACTGACTTTATTGGAAGGAGATGGAAAAAACAAGGTTATTGAGGAGGAACCATGGGGCCATGTGTTTAAAAGGAAGTATTTCTGTCCTTTAAGAATTGAGAAAGTAGACAAGTTCAAGTAGAAATATTTTTTTTTTGGTTGGCCATAAGGCTTGAACTCAGGGTCTGGGTGCTGTCCCTGAGCATTTTCATAAATAAAGCTGTTACTTTTGTAAACAAAACAACACAAAAAAAACAAGATCCATCCATTTTTTGTCCCCAAGAAACACATCTGCCAAAGATGAACACAAATTCTGAGTGAAGGAATGGAAAAAGATATTCCAAGCAGCTAAATCCTGCAAGAAGGAAAGAGTAGCCATACTGATAGCTGATAAAATGGGCTTCATGTTAAATCAATAAGAGATAAAGAAGGTCACTACATATTAAGAAATGGCATGATCCATGAAGAAACAAATTACAGTCATCAATATATGCACCAAATAGCAGAGCTCCCAATTAAACAATCAAACAAGCACTCCAATCAAACAAACACTCGTAAACTAACAAAAACTTAGAGACCCCCAACACAATAATAGAGGGAGATTTTAACACCCCATTCTCATCAAAGGATAATTCAACCAAACAGAAGATCAGCAAAGAAACCTCTAAATTAAGTGACATCATAACCCAAATGGACTTAATAGATATCTACAGAGTATTTCACCTAGCAACCACACAAGACATTCTTCTAAGCAGACCATTGAACTTTCGTCAAAATAGATCATATCCTAGGATATACAATAATCCTGAGGAAATATTTATTGATATAACTCCCTATATTCTATCTGATCACAAAAGAACCAGAACTCAATAGCAAGACTGAACAACACACTGTTGAATAGTACTTCAATGAAAATAAAAGCATGTCATACCAGAAACTCTGGGACACAGCAAAAGCAGTGTTGAAAGTTCAAGAAATCCCAGGTTTTTGCCTGGTCACTGCCCCTATCCACCTTTTCCTAGCTTAGCATATAAACTCCTCATTCTCCTGCAGGTATGGGAGGCTTTTTTGGGTATTACCTGAGACATCTCTGTCCTTAAATTCGGCACTCTATGCCATCCTAGGTTTGTCTGCTTCTTCCATCCATCTCTCAGCATCATCTACTATGGTAGCTGGTTATTGGATATTGGCTCTGTAAAAACACCTCCTGAGTAGCTAGTAATACAGATGTGAGCCATCAGTGCCTGACCTTACTGAACATTTGTAGGAACTGAATGAAATGTCCATCTAACTCTTGGTCTTTCAAACATCAGATGAACTATGGATTATTAAGACCAATAGAAGGGAGAGATAAAAAGAGTCTTGTTACCGGGAGGTCTGATTGATAGCTAAGGCCCTCTGAATTCGACAAGGAGGTGAAAGCTTAAAGACATTCTTCAGTGGTTGGAAGGTATACTGACATTGAAGATACTCCTTATGCTTAGAACTTTCATTTATATCTTGTTTCAGAGGAGCTGTTGTTAAAGAGACCTTTTGTTTGATGGTCACTTTTTGTGGCAACTCAGGTGTTTGGCAAATGTTTATCGATTCCATTCCTGAAATTTAAAAAAAAATTATTTTTCGAAACATTCTTAGTAGACCAAAGCATCTCTAGGCTGAGCTGTGTGGATTAAGTTGCCTGTAGTAGCCTGGGTGCTCTTTTACCATTTCCAGATGTTCATTTTCTGATGGTTCTCTTACTTCACATGTACCTCTTGGTCTGCTTAGAGAATAAAAGGCATCTATGTAATAAATGTAGAAATTTTCCTATCTATCAACCTAATTCATAGGGGTTTGATTGGGCTTACTTATGCTAGGTAATGCGTGAAATGCTTTAAGTAGATTATCATATTGAATAAATACCATCGTGATGTGAGTACATTTAGCCCTCTGTATCCAAGTATTTTATACTGAAGGTCTTATGGTTTGAATATAAAGTCTTCCCTTAACCCTCCAAAGGCTTGTGTAGTAAAGACTTGATCCCAATGCAGTTTTCAGAGATAGGGAGTTAGGAAAGTAGTTGGATCATGGGAGCCTGACCTAATTGATAGAATAATCCATTTGTGGATTCTAATTTGATGTTGTTATTGGAAAGTAGTAGGGAAGTGAAGACTAATTGGAGGAAGTAGGTTTCTCGGGATCTATTAAAAGATTTGATTTATTAAAAAAGATTTCCTACTCCTTCTCCATCTTTTCTATTTCCTTGCTGTCATAAAGTAATCAGCTTTCCTCTGCCTGTAACCTGCCACAGTGTTCTGCCTCACCACTTTGGCCCCAACACATTGGAGCCAGCTGACCAGAAACTGAAACCTCCAAAATTCTCTGCACATTTAAATTTTTTGTCTTTTGAATTGCTTTTCTCAAATATTTGTCAGCTAACTAGTTAGGAGCTGATGGCTTTTAAAATCTGAGGATCACAGTTCAAAGCCAGCCCAGGAAATAAAAGTCTGTGAGATTTTTATTAATCACACACACACACACAAAAAGTAGGGGAGTTATAGCTCAAGTGGTAGAATGTTGGCCTTGAGAAAGCTCAGGGACCACTCCCGGCCCCTGGCTCAAGCCTCAGGACCAGCACAAAACAAAAAACAAAACTATGGATTCAACCAAGTATGGATCAAAAACACTTGAAAAAAATTCATCTATAGTGTATATATGTAGATATTTTCCTTATCTTTATCCTATAAACACTACATTGTAACAATTTTTTACATAAAAAAGGAATAACAAGTAGAGAGATTATTTGAAATATGCAGGAAGATATGTGTGGTAACATGCAAATACTACATAATTTTATGAAAAGGATTTTGGATTTGAGCATCCTCTGATTTGGATCTTGAGTAGCTAGGATTATAGGCTTGAGCCACTGGGCCAAAGATAAAAATTGTTATCACAGAAAATGGGATACAAACTGATGTATGGGATAAACTTACAAGGCTGCTCATAGGTCTAATGGATTCAGTCATTCGAGCCCAGATGAGCTCTTTGGAGGGGTATTTCTGCTTTTAGTTCCTGTGTAAAACATCTGTGCATTTCCTTCTGGAAGTTCTGCTCTATACCACAGTATGTTCTAAACCAATTCCTCAAATGGAGAAGGTAAGGTGCCTTTGGATTTAGCATATAATCAATACAATTCCATGTCTGTGAATTTGCCTACTTACTAAAATTTTTTGTAACCTCCCCCACCCCGGTATTCATGACACTTTGTTAGCCATTCAGAGGTGCAGAGAGATGAACGTTTCAAGTCGCCTTTTATGCATGCTCCCAGCTGAAATCAAAGGAAGCTTCATTTTGTCTTCTTGTTTCAGCTCTTATACTGTAAAAAACAAAAAAAACAACAAAAAAACTGCTCTTCTCATATTATGTATTACTATGCTTGGAGCATTTTTGTGCTTTTTATTGATTTTTCTTTATTTTTTTTGGGGGGGGACTGGTCGTGGGTCCTGAACTGTGGGCCTGGGCACTGTCCCTCAGCTCTTCAGCTCAAGGCTAGCGCTCTACCACTTGAGCCACAGCGCCACTTCCAGCTTTTTCTGCTTATGTGGTGCTGAGGAATCGAACCCAGGGCCTCATGCATGCAAGGCAAGCACTCTACCACTGAGCCACCTTCCCAGCCCTGATTTTTCTGTTTACAGTAGCCTGCAAGTATAATACTACACTCAAGAAGGCTGTGGTATACCTATACCTTAAGAATAAAATACACATTAAACTTTATAGACTACGATAGAGATCATTTGCCATGAAGGTTAGAATGTGTTTGTGACTTTAACTAAGTATCACTATCCCACAATACTGTGAAATGTGTGAAATTTATGTTATAATTATAATTATAACATAAATATAATTATAATAAAAAATTGCAAGAAAGAATAAAATACATGTTTTAGATAGGCTTTTTTCAGACGTGTTGTTGACCACGAATTCATTGTTATTAACAAATACATAATAAATAAGGTGTCTTTAGACAGAAACACATATATAATATGGCTATATCGATCAATAGGCAAAAATGTTGTTACCAGATCTCCCAGGAAGCTCAATCTATGAGCTATCCTAGGAGCAGTGTTTTGGTATTCAATAATTCAGTGTTTGTAGAGATTTTATAGTATCTCATTTTTACAAATAACATGAATAGGGCTGGGAAGGTGGCTCAGTGGCAGAGTGCTTGCCTTGCATGCATGAGGCCCTGGGTTCGATTCCTCAGCACCACATAAGCAGAAAAAGCTGGAAGTGGCGCTGTGGCTCAAGTGGTAGAGCGCTAGCCTTGAGCTGAAGAGCTGAGGGACAGTGCCCAGGCCCACAGTTCAGGCCCCACATCCAGCAAAAAAAAAACAAAAAAGAAAACATGAATAAACTGTTACATTAATAGTCAAGGAGTGAAATAGTGCAGACTCTAATCAAATGTTAAGTACAAGTTGATGCTGCAATAACATATTCCAATGTGAAATTCCTTTACAATATAGCTAGTGAGCAGAACTCATGTGCAAGGACTGAAGTACAAAGGGGAAACTGGGGGAGGTTTTAAAGGGAAGTTTTCTGATGTTAAAAATGAACATAAAAGCACCTTTTCCTGGTGCTAAAAAAGTGGCCAAGTAGATTCTCTTCTCCACAAATTAAAAGGAAGTAACATCAAGCACAACTTTTCTTTTTGGGGGGGGGGATGGGGTCTGGTCGTGGGCCTGAACTCTGGGCCTGGGCTCTGTCCCTCAGCTCTTCAGCTCAAGGCTAGCTCTCTACCCCTTAAGCCACAGCGCCACTTCCGACGTTTTTCTTTTTTCTTTTTTTTTTCCGACTTTTTTCTTTTTGGTTATGTGGTGCTGAGGAATAGAACCCAGGGCCTCAGGCATGCAAGGCAAGCACTCTGCCACTGAGCCACCTTCCCAGCCCACAACTTTTATTGTCCTGCTAGCCAATCACTCAAGTCCATGAGAAGAATTTGTGTCTACAGAGTTTCACATTTCACGAACTTGCTACTTTGCAAAACTTTGAGGGGATAGGCATTTGAATATTACTTTTCTGAAGTGCTTAACAATGGGAACTGGTCATGTGGAACAACATAATAGGTTTCCAGAACTGACCCATTGAAAATCTGTAGTGATTCAACCAGTGAGAGAAGATATGCTTGGCCTTCTTTTGTAGCATTCTCAGGTTGATAGATGTCACAAAGTCATGCATAGGGCTTATATCCATTGATGAATCAATAGTGCTTGTAATCAATTGGTCTGCTGAACCAGTAGGCTTTAAAACAGGAAGACATAGAAAAATGTATGTTTATGAGATACAGACATGAATATAGATGTCTGAAAGAACAGACTTACAAATATAAGGACAGGAAAGAGACACCACTTCATATATTAATTATTTTTAACTATTTTTGTCTTTTCTTTTTTGATACTGGGGATTGAATCCAGGACACTGCACTTGCTAGGCAGGCACTTTGCCACTGAGTTACATTCCAGCCCAACATTAAATGTTTTATTCCTTTATGTATTCACTCACTCATCCATTTATTATGTCACCAAATAAGTATTTATTGCGTGTTAAAATTACTTATGGGCCAGACATTATGTCAGAAACTAGGACCAAAGTCACATATAAAAGCCACATTCCCCTGTGAGGGTACCTAGCTTCATTGAAATACTCACAAATGGTTAAAACGGTAAAGTCAATGTTATGAATATTTTGCCACAATAATAAGTGCATGAGTTTACATGGCTAGATTATTTAGTGTTTATATATATATATATATATACATATTCATTAAGTATACATAATTATGGGAACATTTACATGTTCACATATTAAACACATGCATACTTATATACTTAACTCATTATTGTTATTTGCCATTTTTTTGTCAGTCATGGGGCCTGAACTCTGGGCCTAGGCACTGTCCCTCAGCTCTTCAGTTCAAGGATAGCACTCTACCACTTGAGCCACAGTGCCACTTCCAGCTTTTTCTGCTTATGTGGTGCTGAGGAATCAAATCCAGGGCCTCATGCTTTCAAGACAAGCACTCTACCACTGAACCACCTTCCCAGCCCCTGTTCTTTGCATAATTTTGGTGATCAACACAGAAACACATTAAGATATATAGAAACCAAGAAGTCAAAAAGCCATAACTCATTAAAGAAAAGATTTAAAGAAGTAAATGGAAGAGTTTAAGTGTTGTGTGTGTGTGTATCACACACACATACTGAGGGCCAGTATTGGCTGCTAGGAGCTTTATAGTCTGTGGCAGATTCCCACTTGTTCCATACACACCCTGGCTTGTATCTCCAGGGGCAGCAAGCATCCAAGCCTCATGGTAACTCCAGAATGTGTCTGAGAGTACAGGGAACAAACAGAACACTGAATTCTTCACTGGCTGGAAGAGAACTTAGGGACCCAGTCACTATGCCTGCTAGTTTGTTTGTTTGTTTGTTTGTGGACAAATACTGGGGTTTGAACTCAAGGTCTGAGTGCTTGCTGTCCTTTTTGTTTTTTCACTCAGGGCTAGTGCTCTACCACTTGAGCCACAGATCCACTTTCAGCTTTTTGGTGGTTAATTAGAGATAACACTCTCACAGGCTTTCTTGCCTTGCCTGGCTTTGAACTGTGATCCTCAAATCTCAGCCTCCTGAGTTGCTAAGATTATAGATGTGAGCTGCCAGTGCCCAGCTAAAGGAACCTTGAAAATGCTAGATTAAATAAAATAAACCACTTAAAAAGGACAAATACAATGAGGGGGAGGGATTGGGATGGGAGGAATGGGGGAAAAGAATGAAAAGGATGATATCAATTAGGATGTATTATAAACTGACTTGTTGAATGGTAAGTAGTTGTACAACTACTTAAAGATGATACAAATTTAATTTTAAGGAGGACAAACACTTGTATTCCCACTCATATGAGATACTTAGAGAAGTCAAGTCAAATTTAGAGATCAGATAATGGTGATGGATTTTTTTTTTTTTTTGGTCGGTCGTAGAGCTTCAACTCTGGGCTGAAGAGCTTGAGCCACTTGAGCCATAGCACCACTTACAGTTTTTTTGGTGGTTAATTAGAGATAAGAGTCTCACAGACTTTCCTTCCTGGGATGGCTTTGAACCACAATCCTTGAGAATGGTGATTTTTTTTAAGACTACACAGAACAGGCTTGGTATTGTTTAATAGGTACAGAATGTTAGTTTTGTAAGACTAAGAACTTGGGAGACGGATGGTGGTGAGAGTCAGTGTACTTACTGCCACTGAATTGCCATACTTAAACATGATTACAACTTTTCTCTATAAAGTTAAATACAAAATACTTCCTAACAAAAGTCATCCTTGCCTCTTCCAATTAACTATATAAATGAAACTACCTATGTCAAGTAACTGGTTCTGTAAAACGAATCTAGTGTCTATTGGCATTGGAAAAAAACATGCAAATAGAATCCTCCTTTGTCTCTAAAGTTGAAATAGTGGCTAACAATTCATTGGCTTCTCTGGAAATGAGAATAAAAATGGGCTGGGAGAGGTTGCAAGCTCTTTTCAGAAGTTATGGTTAATAACACTTGGGAAGGAAGGACAATTTTACAAAATGAACTAATTATAGAGAAATTACATGGATTCAGAATATTCAAAATGTTATAGTAATTCTAAATAGTAAAAATTTAAAAATATGCATTTTTACTATTTCTGTAACAAGTATTTAATTCACATAGATGTATAGGTTTCTAAATGTATAGGTTCAAAGCCAGCCCAGGCAGGAAAGACTGTGAGACTCCTATCTCCAATAAACCACTAGAAAACCGGAAGTGACACTGTGGCTCAAGTGGTAGAGCGCTCGCCTTGAGCTGAGTTGCTGAGGGACAGCGCCCAGGCCCAGAGTTCAAGCCCCACGACCGACCAAAAAAAAAAAAAAAAGAATTTTTTTCCAAGGCTAGCTTCCAACTGTGATCCTCAGATCTGTCTTCTGAGTAGCTAGGATTACAGGCAGAGCTCAGCTCCAATGCCATCATTAAATAGATAATAAACTAGCCAGTGTCACAGGCTTGTGTCTGTAATCCCAGCTACACAGGAGGCTGAGATCTGAGGATTGTAGTTCAAAGTCAGCCTAGGAAGGAAAGTCCGTGAGACTCTTATCTCCAACAAACCACCAGAAAACTGGAAGTGGCACTTTGGCTCAAGTGGTAGAGCACTCCCCCTGAGCTCTTATGGACAGTGCCCAGACTCAGAGTTCAAGCCCCATGACTGAGCAAAAAGAAGGAGGAGGAGGAGGAGGAATAAAAGGGGGGAAAAAAGGAAGGAAAAGGAAAAGAAAGGAAGGGGGATTGCAGAGGAAGAGGGGGAAAGGAAAAAGGAAAGGAAGAAGAAACAACGAAAGAAATGAAAGAAAAGGAAGAAGGGAAAAGGAAAGAAAGGAGAAGGGGAAAAGAAAGGGGAAGGGGAAAAGAAAGGGGAAAGGAAAAGGGGAAAAGAAGTGGCGAGCTGGACCTACCATGTCAGCTAAACATAGAGGCAAAAATTTGTGCTTTACAGGTGCTAGAGACAGCTTCAGGCTTTTGGGATGCCATTTGTAGACCAAAGTGATAGCAAAGCGCCCAGAAATCTTCACAGTAATAAAGTTATTCACCTGTGTGCAACAGAAAGAAGAGTAAGTTTTTATGCAGACTTTTCATGATCATAAATCAAGTAGAAATCAGGTATTTTCATGACATGTGAAAGGACATTTGAAACTGACATTCATAAAAGGTTTGTTTTGACTTAGATCCATTAAGGCAGAATGAGTGTAGGGTTTTGTGCTACAAATTTATGGTTGCTATGATTTATTGCGAAAAGGAAGAGGAGTCGACAGAAATGATTTGAGATCTATTTGAGAATGAGAAAATGCTTGGCAAATGTATAGTTATTTGGAGCCCTAATTTTAGCACTGAGACATGAATAGCCTCTCTTGTACAGTATGGTTGATAATTTCTATTTCCCTAGGTGTTGAGAAAAGTCAGTAGCAATGTCAAGTACTTAAATGTTGCCTTAATGTCACTGTGAAACTCATTAAAGTTGGAGAGATTTTATAAATGGTAAGAATGGAAAACTAACAAGTAAATGACTTCTAAAACTGAAGAACACATCTGCAGATGTATCAAGTATAGTTTTAAATGATTCCTCCCATCGGGGCTGGGAAGGTGGCTCAGTGGCAGAGTGCTTGCCTTGCATGCATGAGGCCCTGGGTTTGATTCCCCAGCACCACATAAAGCCGGAAGTGGCATTGTGGCTCAAGTGGTAGAGTGCTAGCCTTGAGCTGAAGAGCTGAGGGACAGCGCCCAGGCCCAGAGTTCAGGCCCCACGACCAGACCCCTCCCCCCC